AGAGTTTCTCGTACAAAAACCTCCACAATGATCCAGCAGATAACAGCAACCAGACAGGAAACCTCTGAGAACATGAGACACAGCAGGCAACATGTTCAACAACACAAAAACTTCACAACAAACGGTTGAATCATTGGAATATTTCAAAAATACTTTCAATGTGTTCATATATAAAGTAAAGGAAAAATTATGAAGGTAATCAGAGTAAAATCCTGCTTGTATCCTGCACTTACAAAGAGAAACTTTGGGAGTAAATATAAAGTGATTAAACTGGTGATTTCTATTATAATTTTGGAGACTGCAGCATATTTCAACCAGTTATATTTCCCCAATACTGCCATTATTTTGATCCAAGTTTTATACTTTTATTGGGACTCTTCAGGTCTGTTATAGAGTTGAAAATGACACAACATGACTTAAATGAGACACAAAGACACAACAACAAGACATAAAAAACACAAACACGGCAGAAAGCAACATGAGCAAGACAAAAAAACTACACAAACAAGACATAATGCGACAATAAGACCAATGGGAACGGGGGGAAAAAAGGCATAAAATATAAAATTTGTGGAAAAAAATTTCACATAAGACAACACAGCGAGACAACATGACATAAATGGACAAAAACAAAACCAGAAGTTAATGTACACTGTATAAAAAGATACATAACCTTTTCTTCTCACTGTCTGACATTAAATCAGATGAAACTTTTCCTGTTTTAGGTCAGTTAGGATTACCAAAACTATTTCTATTTCTAAAAGCCAGAATAATGAAAGAGATTACTTTATTACTTTCTTAAAAGTCAGAAGTTTACATATATTTCCTTTGTATTTGGCAGCATTGCCTTTCAACTGTATGAAGTGGGTAAAACATTTTGGGTTTCCTTCCACAAGCTTCTCACAATAGTTTGATGAATTCTGGCCCGTTCCTCCTGACAGAACTGGTGGAACTGAGTCAGGTTTGTTGGCCGCCTTGCTCCACACGCCTTTTCAGTTCTGCCCACAAAGTTTCTACAGGATTGAGATCAGGGCTTTATGATGGCCACTCCAAAAACATTGACTTTGTTGTTCTAAAGCCTCTTTGTAACTAATCTGGCAGTAAGCTTAGGGTCATTGTCCATTTGGAAGACCCATTTGTGCCCAAGCTTGAACTTCCTGGCTGATGTCTTGAGATGTTGCTTCAATAATTCCACATCATGTTCTTTCCTCATGATGCCATCTTTTTTGTGAAGTGCATCAATCCCTCCTGCAGCAAAACACCCCCACAACATGATGCTGCCACCCCCGTGCTTCACAGTTGGGATGGTGTTCTCAGGCTTGCAAGCTTCCCCCTTTTTCCTTCAAATGGTCATTAAGGCCAAACAGTTCAGTTTCAGTTTCATCAGACCACAGGACATGTTTCCAGGAATTAAGATCTTTGTCTCTGTGTGCATTCACAAACTGCATTCTGGCTTTTTTATGTTGCTTTTGGAGTAATGGCTTCTTCCTCTCTGAGTAGCTTTTCAGTCCATATCAGTACAGGACTCAGTCCACTGTGGATAATGACACTCTCTTACCAGCTACAGCAGCATCTTCACAATTTTGTTTGCTTTTGTTCTGGGGTTGATTCGCACATTTCACACCAAAACACTTCATCTCTGGAATAGAGAACCCGTCTCCTTCCTGAGCAGTATGAAGGCTGGACATCCTCATGGTGTTTATACTTGCGTATAATTGTTTGAACAGATGAATGTGGAACCTTCAGGCATCTGGACATTGTACGCAAGGATGAAGCAGATTTGTGAAGGTCCCCAATCCCCAAGATTTTCTCATATTGTCACAAAAGGAAGCAGTGTGTTTGAGGTGTACCTTAAATACATCCACAGGTGTGCCTCCAATTAACTCAAATGTTGTCAATTAACCTATCAAATGCTTCAAAAGCCATGACATCATCATCATCTGGACTTTCCCAAACAGTTTTAAGGTATACTAATCTTAGTGTATGAAAACTTCTGACTTTAAAGAAAGTAAGAACAAATCTCTAAAAGATTCTCTCTCTCATTATTCTGGCTGTTAGCAAATAGAAATTATTTTGGTAATCCTAACTGACCTAAAGCAGGAAAAGTTTCATCTGATTTAATGTTAGAAACTGAGAAAAAAAAAAGGTTGTGTATCTTTTCATACAGGGTAAGTAAACTTCTGGTTTCAACTGTATAAAGTGAAGAACATTGGGTGCACCTCAATGAAAAAGGTACAGGGACCAATCTGGATTCCTGTTTTATATTCTTTAAAATGTGTTCTGAAGAGAGCCAGCAATGTTTATATGCAATAAATGCTAGAAACAATAAACAAGACTGAAATCCAGTCACAAAATAAGTCCACATGTCAGCTTGTACACAAACAAGTTGCTGC